ATGAAGAGAGTGGGAGAGGGTGACGGAGAGTTAGAGGGAGGTGAGAATTAAACAGAAAAACAACAATAATAGCAAAAATTGCCAACAAATTGAAGTAACGCGGAGAAATGTTTGTTATTCGATAATTGTTGAAGTAGCGCATTTTAATTGTGTGGTGATACAGATAGCCCAGCCGCCGAACGGAGTGTCCGGCCAAGAGAAAAAGTATCAATTCCAAGCCACAGCTCATGTCAGTCAAACCTAACCAGCAATAACAACATAAAATACAATGATATTACAACAACCTGTCGCACAAATCGTCATCAACAGCTCAAGTAATATACAAATTTGACCCCACAACTAGGCAATCCGACAGGCAGGCCGACCAATAGCCAGCTGGCCACCCGACCACCTAGCAAGTGAGTCTGTAAAACAACCAAATAAAAGCAGTTCGTCAGTCAGACACCCACAAAAGGCAGTTCGTCAGTCAGTCCATTAGATAGACACGCAACACAAACACTTCGTCAATCGGTCCATTAGATAGATACCCATCCCGACAGTTCGTCAGTCAGATAGTCATTCATTCACCTCGTCATTTTGGTTACTTCTATTTCTGGTCTCGTGTCTCTTCTCATGAATAGGTTGGAAAAAATCATGAAAATAATTAGACATTCATAGGCTGCCGTTGGCGACCGGCACCACCCAACCAAGCATATCACAGTGTAAATATCTGTCACATTCTTGTGATGACAATATTTCATCGGGAAGTCAGTCGTCGTCCGTCAATCTATTTGGTATTCGGTATTATGCACATAATTTAACATTTAATTGTTGGAAAACAATTTCATATATTTTTTTTTTTTCGAAATTATTTCAGGCAATTCACAAAGGCGTGACGTCATGTAGAGGGTGCTCTGATAACATGTTACAACATGTAGGAAGGAAATGTATGAAGCAAACATATTTTAATGGAAAATGTGAGGAAAATATTTGGCGTTATAAAAAATACAAAAAGAAAAAATACGTTAAGTTCGGCAAGGGCCAAACCTTTTATACCCTTCAAAAGTTTTAAAATCCCTTCGAATTTTTATAAGGAGGCTAGGGTAAATTTTTTGTATGAAGACTTGACACCCAAAGGAGAACCTAAAATACCAAATTCAAGCCAATTCGGTTGAAAAACGTGCTCAAGTTCGCTAAAATATCGAAATTCGGAAGGTACCGTTATATGGGGGCTACCCTAAAATGTGAACCAATATTAATAATTTTTGGTGAGGAGATTTTCTAACCAACGAGAACCCAAAATACCAAATTACAGCCAATTCAGTCAAAAAATGCGCCCAAAATATCGAACTTCGGGAGGTACCGCTTTGAGGGCTACCATAAAAAGTAGATCAATATTGATCATTTTTGGTTGGAACATTTGCTACCCACTGAGAATCCAAAATACCAATTCAATTTAAAAACGTAATCAAACTCCCTAAACTACAGAAATTCGGGAGGTTCGATTATATGACAACTACCCTTAAAAATGGACCAATTTTGATAATTTTTGGTAGGATAATGTTTTACCCCTTGAGAACCCAAAATGCCAAATTTCAACGAATTTGGTTGAAAAACATGCTCAAGCTCCCCAAAATACCAAAATTCGGAAGGTACCATTATATGGAGAATACCCTAAAAAGATACCTAATTTTGATCATTTTTTGTTGTAAGATTTTCTAACCAATGGGAACACAAAATACCAAATTTCTATCTTCATCCATCACGAATCAGCCCGGATAACCGGTAAAACCGGATAAAATGGATTACATAATCACTTCAGCAACTATGATGGTCCATTAGGCCCATCTTTTGCTGAATGTATCAATAATTGTGACTTTTTGCGACAAAAAAAAAATGTTGCGGATAAAAACGGATAATCGCGGATAAAAACGGATAATCGCGGATAAAGGGGTTTCGATGAATTTTCTACTAATTTAACTTCCTATTCCTCTTCTATAACCTTTAATCAAATTTTCTAAATTTAATTTCGAATTTTTGATGGAATATTGGTTTGCGGATAAAAACGGATAATCGCGGATAAAGGGGTTCTCATGGATTTTAGGTTAACTGAAGGTTCAATTCGCTCCCTAGAAGCTATGAGCTATTTTTCTAGACCAAACTTATAATTTTTGGGGGACTTTTGTGTTTGCGGATAAAAACGGATAAGCGCGGATAAAGGGGTTTTAGTGAATTTTCGGGAAATTTAAGTTGTAATTCCTTTTAGAGGGGCTATTAACTAAATTTCACAATGAAATGTATAGTTTTTGGAGGAGTTTGGGGTTTGCGGATAAAAACGGATAATCGCGGATAAAGGGGTTCTCATGGATTTTAGGTTAATTTAAGGTTCAATTATGTCCCTCGAAGCCATTGGCTATTTTTCTAGACCAAATTTATAATTTTGGGTGGACTTTTGTATTTGCGGATAAAAACGGATAATCGTGGATAAGGGGGTTTTAGTGATATTTCGGTAAATTTAACTTGCAAATCCTTTTCTAGAGGCTATGATCTAAATGTCTGCATAAACATTTCAATTTTTGGAGGATTTTTGTTTTGCGGATAAAAACGGATAATTGCGGATAAAGAGGTTTTAGTGAATTTTCAAGAAATTTAACTTGCAATTCCTATTAGAGAGGTTAATAGCCAAATTTCTCAATGAAATTTTTAATTTTTGTTGAACTTTTGTGTTGCGGATAAAAACGGATAAACGCCGATAAATGTGTTCTAAGTTGATGTTTGGAGATTTTCTACACTAAAATTCGTTATTTTAATTTAAATTATCCTTTAGAACCAATTTCGAACATTTGCCAGCAATTCGAGATTTTTCGGATAAAAACGGATAAGCGCGGATAACGGGGTTCTGAGGGGATTTTTGACGATTTTCTACACTAAAATTCATTATTTTTACTTAAAGTATCCATTGGAACTAATTTTGAAACTTTTCCGCCACTTCCAAAATTTTCGGATAAAAACGGATAAGCGCGGATAAAGGGGTTCTATGTGGATTTTTGCAGATTTTTTAACTGAAATGGTATAGATAGATATCGGTGATATATTTTTTTTAATACTCTTTTGAAGTCTAGATTAAATTTCGAAAATTTTGAAATTTTTGAATAAAACCGGATAAGCGCGGATAATGGCCTTAGACCCACATCTTCGAAGTTTAACAATTGTGGAATCCATTGTTTCAGCTTGCTTTATTATTTGCTACAGATTGCCAACATTTTCCATCACTTTGAGATTTTACGGATAAAAACGGATAAGCGCGGATAACGGGGTTCTGAAGGAATATTTGTGGATTTTATAACTGATATGGTGTAGTTAGATATCCAGGACATTTTTGAATAATTTTTAAAAGTCTAAATTGAATTTCTGCTATTTTGAGATTTTCGGATAAAAACGGATTAGCGCGGATAAAGGTCTTAGAACAGCATTTTCGAAGTTTAATAATTGTGGAATCAATTATTTCAGCTTGTTTTATTATTTGCTACAGATTTTCAACATTTTCCATCATTTTGAGATTTTTCGGATAAAAACGGATAAGCGCGGATAAAGGGGTTCTGAGGTGAATTTTTGTGATTTTTTTAACGGAAATTTTGTAGTTAGGTATTCATGATATTTTTGAGACATATTTTAAAGGAAAAAAATAATTTCTTAAATTTGGAGATTTTTGGATAAGTTCGGATAAAGGGGTTATAGGTAATTTTTTGCCGATTTTTTGATGGGAACTTAGTAATTGCATATCTATAAGTTGATATTAAATTAAAGAAGATCTTTTGGGTTACTATGCCCTCCAGATAAAAACTGGGAATCACGGTAAGGGACTTATGACCATTTCGTGTTGGGGATAAAAACGGATAATGGCGGATAAAGAGTTTTTCGTAAATTTGCGGGTGATTTTAATTGCAATTCTGCTTCAGGGAGCCTCGATTAGGCTTTCTACACTAAATTGAAAATGTTTGGTAGAGTTATGTTTATAATTTACAGATTTTTTTTATTCGTGGAATATTTCCGAATAAAATTTCCCAACGAACCTCGTATATTTTTTTGCTTGCAGCTTTTCAAAATTTGTTGTAATTTATTTTTGTTGTAAATTAATTACTACCATTTAAGAAAACTTTGCAACGTTTGATGATGACCTCATTCTACAGCGGAAGTAGATCAAGTTTTTCAAAATCGAAAACAGAACTCACTCATTATTGTTATTATTGTGAAGTCCACACTGAAAGTCTCCACAGCGATGATTAATAACACTTTATGATCCCGATAAAAGGGTATTTCGATTGAGAAATAACATGAAATCACCTGTGTGTGAGTGTGTATGCATATCAGGGGAAGAATCGACCATTACACCAACAGATAATGCTGTCGCAGATAAGATAAGTTTGGCCCCGCTTGAAAAGCTTGATGACTAGCGTAGTCAGTAATGCTGGAATGTAAACACACAAAGTGTAACCTATTTTTTCGGTTTGGGGGTAGGGGAAGGGTAAATTGTGATATTCAGCAAGAATATAACTGTGAACATAACGCTGGGCCTTATCTAAGCTATTTAAGGTTCGGTTGAAGAAGAAGAAATGTATGTAGCAAGTGTATGCGACTACATCGCTTATGATATGAGGCTTTTATGGGCTTATCTTATCTTATCAATTGCCATACAGACACATACACCTGTAAGAATTCTCCGTTTTAGATATGCCTGTGAATAGGCAACAGGTTTTCAGGGGGCCAAGATAATGGGCGATAGAATGAAAGAAAAAATCAGACAATAAAAAAATTTTTGTAGCTTTCATTTTGGGGTGCTACACGATATCATTTGTCGCCCAATTGTGTCAGTAAACGAACGAAAACGCAACGAAAATAAAGCGAAGAAAAAAAAACAGGAGGAGGAAAGATTCCAAAAAATAGAAATATTTGTGGAAAATTGGAAAAAATAAATAAAAATTATATTTGAAAAAATAAACTAAAATCAAAAACGAACGAAAATGGTGTCCGTCGAAACAATTGGTTCAATATTCATCAAAGCATTGAAATTGGTAAATGGAAAATCTGAATAAAAAATATAAAAAAAAATCATGAAAAACTGGAAAAGAACTGGAACACGTGGAAAAAATATTTTCCTCAAGAGAAAAAAAAACAAAAAAATATACCCAAAAATAAAAAAAACTTTAAATTACCAAAACATACTCCTGAAGATATGCCAACAATGTTACTAACCTTAAAACCATTAAAAATAATTTAAAATCTCGTTATCGCTGCATATCCGAACTAAGACAAAAAATCGGAAATTTTTGAAAGTACATTATTGGTTCAAAAAACATATTTATAAAGCTCACAGATGTGAAATAAGATGACTTCAGTTGAAAAATCGGTGAAAATCCGCTTGGAACCCCGTTATCCGCGCTTATCCGTTTTTATCCGAAAATTCTCAAAGTGGTGGAAATTGTTGAAAATTTGTCGCAAATAATAAAACAAGCTGAAATAATTGATTTCGTAATTTTTAAACTTCGAAAATATTGCTCTTAGACCGTTATCCGCGCTCATTCGGTTTTATTCGAAAATCTCAAAATTTTAAAAACTAATTTTTGACTTCAAAAAAATGTCTACAAAGCTCTTGGATACCTAACCACATCATTTCAGTTAAAAAATATGCAAAATCCACAAGGAACCCCTTTATCCGTTTTTATCCGAAAAATCTCCAATTGGTAGAAAATGTTGGAAATTTGTCTCAAATAATAAAGCAAGCTGAAATAATAGATTCCGCAATTGTTAAACTTCGAAAATGTGGTTTTAAGGCCGTTATCCGCGCTTATTCGATGACTAAAAATAAAAAAAACGAATTTAAAACTTCACAAAAAAGTTCACTGAGCTCTTGGATACTTGGAGTACATCATTTCAGTTTAAAAATCAACAAACATCCAACTTTAACCCCTTTATCCGCGCATAATCGATTTTATGCGGAAAATATCTTAATTTGAGAAAGTAATTTTTTACTTCAAAAAATTATAGAGAAATGTCATGAATACCTAACTACATCATTTCAGTTGAAAAATTTGCAAAAATCCACTTGGAAATCCATTATCCGGGCTTATCCGTTTTTTCCGAAAAATCTCACAGCGATGGAAAACGTTCGAAATTTGTTCCAATCGACAAGTAACACTAAAATAATAAATTACACTACTTTTGAACTTTGATAATATGGTTCTAAGATCCTTATACCCAATTATACCTTTTTATCCGCTAGTCCTATTACTTCGGAAAAAAAACTCAAAAATCCTGAAATGCACTTCAAGCCTTAAAAAAATTTCCAAAAAGCTCATGTATACTTATATATACCATTTCAGTGGAGATTATCCCAAATGCTATATTAAGCTAAGACAATAAATTGCAGTGCAAAAAATCTCCAAAACTTAGAACCCCTTTATCCACGATTATCCGTTTTATCCGAAAAATCGCAAATTGATGAAAGAAGCTCGAATTTGGTTGCAAAGGGTTAAATAAGCCAAAATAATAAATTTCAGTGCAAAAAATCTCCAGAAATCCCCTTAGAATCCCATTATCCGCGCTTATCCGTTTTTATCCGAAAAATCTCGAAGTGGTTGAAAACGTTCGGAATTTGTTATAAATACTAAATAAAGCTAAAATAATGAATATCATCGGAAAAAATCTTTAAATTTACGAATAGAACCCCTTTATCCGCACTTATCCGATATTATCCGAAAAACCTCAAAATGCTCGGAAACGTTCGAAATTGGTTTCAAATGATAAACAAAGCTAAAACAATGAATCTGAGTATATTTTAAACTTAAAATGTGGACTCTAAGGTTGTTATCCGCACTTATCCGTTTTTATCCGAAAAATCTCAAAATGCTCGGAAACGTTCGAAATTGGTTGCAAATGATAAAATACGCTTTAGCGATGAATTTTAGCCCATTTAAAATTTGCAATACCTACTCTAAGGTTGTTATCCGCTCTTTTTTTAAATTTCTTATGACTAATCAGCCTCAGTCACTTCTTGTTATTTGTAATTAGGTATTCCGCGTAGGTTGTCTCTGGCCCTTATTTACCATTACCATTTTTCTATTCAGGTGTTTTGAAACAAATAATAATAAAAATTTGCATTTGCAATTAATTTAACACATGTTGTTGTCGTTGTCGACAGCACAACAACAACAAATGATTCATGATTGTCGGTTCCGAATAAGGTGTCATTTTATTTTGATTTTTATTAATTATTTTAATGATTGAATTACAAATATTTATTTTTTCCTTTGATCGCACAGTGCGACTCCCCATAACTCTGTGGTCAGTACTTCTTTGATAAGAAGAACAAGAAACAAATTCGAAAAAAAACAACGAACAACAACATTAAAGTAGTTACTAATACTTGTTATATTTTTAAATTTATGAACTCATGTGTGTTCGAATTCCTTTGGGTAGTGTAGTGTGAGTGTGTTGGAGCACTTAACAAGCTTCGGTGGTGTATGAGTAATTAATAAAGCTTATTATGGTATACAGCTATTACCCAAATTCTCACATGGAAAAAAAATAATAAAAAAATATTTTCAAGGTAAAAAATATTGGGTGCTCTTTTTTCATGGGTACATAGTTTCTGGAAGTTTGCAGGAGGGGAAGGGGTTTGTATTTACATTATGTAAATATTTGTAATTTTTATTATCTCTGATACTCTATCGAAATATTAAAAAAAAACGACTATAAATAAATTACGAGGTCAATTTTCGTGACCAGAGAAATTAGCACTTGCATGAGAAAAGAATAACTACGAATCACATCCGAACTCCGTTTAAGCCCGGGAAGAAGTTTTTAATCAATATTGTAAATTAAAATTTTGCTAATATTCATCGGATTAGCTTATTTTATCATTTGCAATGAATTTCAAATGTTTCCGGCCATTTTCAGATTTTTCGGATAAAATTCGATAAGTGCGGATAGCAACCTTATATACCTTATTTTTAATTAAAAATAGTTAAGAAATCATTGGCTGAGCTTAATATATCATTTGTAATGAATTTCGAACGTATCGGAGCATTTTGAGATTTTTCCGGATAAAAACGGATAAGTGCGGATAAGGCACTTCGAGTCGAAATTTTTAGAAAATGCCTTCAAAACAAACCTTTTTATACTTAAATCTATTAATTTCATTAAAAATTTGCCAATTTTTTTAATATTGGAAATTTCGGATAAAATCGGATAAGTGCGGATAAGGCACTTCTAGTCAAAATTTAGAGAAAATTCTTTCGCTATTGTGCTCTACAAGCCTCTAATTATTTATTAAATCTAGGTCGATTCGGTAAAATTTTGAAGTTCGGATAAAAAACGGATAAGCGCGGATAAGGCACTTAGAATCGTAAAGTTTTGAATTTTCTTTCGTCGTAGGCTTCTTTATATCTAAATGTATCAGTAGGCATTAGAATCGGAAAGTTGTACTTTTTTTTTTTTTTTTTTTTTGACAATTTTCATAAAATTTAAATTTCGGATAAAAACGGATAACGGCGGATAAAACACTTCTAGTCCGAATTTTGATAATTTTCTTTTGCCGGATAAAAACGGATAAGCGCGGATAAGGCACTTAGAATCGGAAAGTTTTAAATTTTATTTTGTCATAGCCATCTTTAGACCTAAATCTATCAGTATGATTGATATTTTTTCCCAATTTTCATAAAATCTAAAATTCTGATAAAAACGGATAACGGCGGATAACACACTTTTAGTCTGAATTTCGACAATTTTCTTTCGCTTAAGCCTTCTACAGGCCTCAATCTATACGCATGATTGATTTTTTTTCCGAAATTCCTAAAATTTTAAATTTCGTATAAAAACGGATAAGCACGGATAACGTACTTTTAGTCGGAATTTTGAAAACGTTTTTCCGTCAAAGCCTTCTTCAGGTATAAATCTATAAATATAATAGTTTTTTTTTGCCAATTTTTGAAGAAACCCCTCAATTTCGAAATTTCGGATAAAAACGGAAAACGACGGATAAGGCCCTTCTAGTCGAAGTTTGGTAATTTTTCCTTCGCCATAGCCTTCTTTAGGTCTCAATCTATACATATGATCGATTTTATAACGAATTTCCTAAAAATTGAAATTTCGGATAAAACCGGATAAGCGCGGATAACGACCTTCTAGTTCGAATTTTGAAAATATTCTTTCGCCACAGCCCTTATTAGGTCAAAATCTATACATTCCGTTAATTTTTTACAAATTTTTAAAGAAAAAAACTAAAATCGCAAATTTCGGATAATCACGGAAAAGGGACTTTTAAGGCCAAATTTAGAGAATATTCTTTCGGATATTTTTTTCTAATGCAAATTAAATTTTTCCAATATTTGTTTTTATTATTATTTCAGATCATCAATTTAATTGTCCTGATTTTGTATCGCGTTGGTGATGGTGGTGAATTTTTGGGTGTTGGCGGAACATGGAATTTAAATGAGGAGAAAAGTGCCGATTGTGAAATTGTCGCGTCGGGTGTAATGGTTGGATTCTTTATTTATACTGGAGTGCATACCATTGCATTTTTGTTCGGTACTACCAAACATAAGAGGTGAGTTCGAAGTACTTTTTAAATTCCGATCGAAAAACTAATGAAATTTGTTCCTTTTCAGAGAACTATCCGACACCATTATGAATGTGGTGGGTACTCTGATGTGGGTGGCCGTTGGTGGTGTTGCCTTGCATTACTGGAAGGGTTACATGAAGGATAATGATTTCTTATATGTTGCCTCGGAAAGACAAGTCGGTATTGCCATGGGTGCCTTATGTGTCATTGAGGGTGCTCTCTATCTGCTGGATACTGTGTTGGCTTGCATACATTACTCCAAGGGTGATACCGATTATGTGCAATAAATGAGATGAGGAGGCGAAGGAGAAATGATGGCAGAACCTTTCGAGAAATTCAAAGACAGAGTGAAGAGAACAAATGAAGGAAGGATGGAAGGCGAAAGAGAGGCGAACAAATGAAAGGTGTCTGGAGTTTTTTATTATTTTAAGCCATATTACGAATATATTTACAAGTACCTCTAAGTCGTTCCCATTTTAAGAATAAGTCCGCTTAAATGTCACAATAGTTTATAATACCTATTTTTCAATTATTTTTCCTGGCCCACTGTGCATAATTATTTTTCATATTTTTTCTTGTATCCATGCCTTAAGCTGCCCTAAGATTTTTTTTTTAATTTTCAATAAAAATTATTTTTTTTTAATTGATTTACGAAAATTGATTTACGAAACTTCTGAGAAAATTTCGGAATTCGGATAAGCGCGGATAACACAATTCTAGTCAAAATTTCGAGAGAAACCTTTCACCATTGTCTTATTATGGCCTATAGCTATTTGTAATATACAAATTTATGTCGATTTTGTACAATTTTGAATTTCGGATAAAAACGGATAAGCGCGGATAACATACTTTTAGTCGGAATTTTGAAAATTTTGTTTCTCCATTGTATTATTTAGCTCTAAATCTAGGCATAAGATAGCATTTTGAAGAAAAATCATAAAATTCAGATTTCGGATAAAAACGGATAAGTGCGGATAAGGCACTTTCAGTCGGAATTTTAAAAAAATTCTTTCGTTATAGCCTTCTTCAGGTCTAAATCTATACATATGTTGAATTTTTTTTCTAATTTTCATACAAATCACAATTCGGATAATAACGGATAAGGCACTTCTAGTCGGAATTTTGAAAATATTCTTTCGTTATAGCCTTGTTCAGGTCTAAATCTATAAATTTATTGGGTTTTTTTTCAAAATTTCCTAAATTTTGAAATTTCGGATAAAAACGGATAAGGGCGGATAAGGCACTTCTAGTCGGATTTTTGAAAATATTCTTTCGTTATAGTCTTCTTCAGGTCTAAATCTATAAATTTATTGGTTTTTTGCAAAATTTCCTAAATTTTGAAATTTCGGATAAAAACGGATAAGGGCGGATAAGGCACTTTTCGTCGGAATTTTGAAAATATTCTTTTGCCACAGCCTTCTTCAGGTATAAATCTATACGTATGATTGATTTTTTGCTCATTTTTCTAAAATTTGGAATTTCGGATAAAAACGGATAAGCGCGGATAAGGCACTTCTAGTCGGAATTTTGAAAATATTCTTTTGTCACAGCCTTCTTCAGGTCTAAATCTATACGTATGATTGATTTTTTGCTCATTTTTCTAAAATTTGAAATTTCGGATAAAAACGGATAAGCGCGGATAAGGCACTTCTAGTCGGAATTTTGAAAATATTCTTTTGCCACAGCCTTCTTCAGGTCTAAATCTATACGTATGATTGATTTTTTGCTCATTTTTCTAAAATTTAGAATTTCGGATAAAAACGGATAAGCGCGGATAACGTACTTTTAGTCTGAATTTCTACAATTTTCTTTCGGCATAGCCTTCCACAAGTCTAAATCTATACATAAAATTTAGAGAAAAATCATAAATTCCGATTTCGGGTAAAAACGGATAAGTTCGGATAAGGTCCGACTAAACCGAATTTTGAAAATTTTCTTTCGACATAGCCTTCTACAGGTCTAAATCTATAAATATAATTGTTTTATTTTACAATTTTTGAAGACAAAATAAAAATCCGAAATTTCGTATAAAAACGGATAAACGCGGATAAGGCATTTCTAGTTGGAATATTGAGGTAATTTTAACGGTATTGTGTAGGGAGAGGTCCAAGCAATCAAGTGAATCAAAAATATAGCATTTCAGCAATAAATATAAAAACTTCGAAATTCGGATGAAAACGGATAATTGCGGATAATGCATTTCCAGTTGAAATAAGCTAAGCTATTATGGGATTCGAAAATATAATATTTCTGATATAAATATAAGAACTTCGAAATTCGGATAAAAACGGATAATTGTGGATAAGCCATTTCTAGGTGGAATATTGAAGAATTTTTTACGGGATTGAGTAGGGAGTGGTTCATGCAATTAGGGGAATTGAAAATATAGCATCTCAGCAATAAAAATAAAATTCGGATAAACGCGGATAAGGCACTTCTAGAAAGAATTTTGAAGAAATTTTAACGGAATTGACTAGAGATAGGTCCAAACAATTAAAGGAATCCAAAATAAAAACATTTCTGATAAAAATATAAAAAACTTCGAAATTCGGATAAAAACGGATGAATGTGGATAAGGTGGAATACTGAAGATTTTTAAACGGATATGGGTAAATTGTGGTCCCAATAATTAAAGGTGTACAAATTTAATGAATTTTGGTGAAAAATAAAAAAAATCGAAATTCGGATAAACGCGGATAAGGCATTTAAAGGTGGAATGATAGATTTTTTAACAGATTGAAATAGTTAAAGGTCTAATCATTTACAGAAATCAAAAATATAAATCTTCCGGAATAAATATAAGAACTTCGAAAATTGGATAATTACGGATAAAGCATTCCTAGTCAAAATATGTAAAATTTTTCACTTTTAGATCTCAGAAGAGATTGTCTAAGACCTTAAATAGGATCGATGTACAGAAGACTTCTGTGATATCATAGGTCGGTTCTCTAAGGCATATAAGACCTTCGTGAGGTTCTGTTTAACAGTGGAAATAGTTCTACAAGACAGATAATACCCTTTATATCCATAAGGTAAGCCATATATATAGTCTGGAGGCATAGAAAACCTCTGAGGTAATTGTTTAAGGTATTTAAGACTCCCGAATAAGTTCTTGAATGCATATATGAATTTCGTAAGGACCTCAAAGGTCCACAAAATCTCAGAGGTGTCTTTACAAGCCCTTTGCTGCTTCAGAGAACATATTGTGAGACCTAAATTTTCCTCGTGGAGATTCTATAAAGAATAAAACACATCTGAGAGATCATATAAGCCAAAAGAAGTCTCTGAGGCCCTTGAGAAAGTTCTCTAAGGTATATAAGACCTTCGTGAGGTTCTCTTTGGCAGTGAAAGAGGTTCTACAAGACATAAAAGATTTCAGAGAAGACCCATTTATATCATGAGGTATGTCATGTATGGTCTGAAAGTATAGAAAACCTATGAGGTGGTCATTTAACGGATTAAAGGATCCTGAGGAAGTTTTTTTATGCATAAACGATTTTTTAAGGACCTGTAAGGCCCAGAAAATCTCAGAGAAGTCCATACGAGCCCTTCGTTACTTGAGAGAAGAGCTTCTAAAACCTAAAACACCCGTGATAAGGTTCTATAATACACAGATGACCTCTGAGATGAACATCTAAGCCAAATGAGGTATCTGAGGCATTTAGACCACCTCAGAAGGTATATAAGACCCTTGAGGAGGTTCTCTAAGAAGGGTTCAGAGAATATCCTTTAGGTCATAAGGTAAGGCGCTTTAAATCATATATATATACGATTCTTGAAGCAGTTCTTTAAGGCATGTACGATTTCGTAAGGACCTCTAAGGCTCAGAAAATTTCAGAAGCATATACAAGCCCTTCGTGAGGTCATCGAAAGCAGAGAAGGTCACTTAGAAGTTATTCTAAAGCCTAATTACACTCCCAGAAAGCGCTGTAGGTTTAAGAAGTTCTCAGAGAATGTTACACACAAAGTTCGGAATAAATCGGATAATCAGGGACGAAACATTTCTAGCCAACTAATACAAAGGCCTGTTTTTTTAATCTGTCATCTGTGTTTCACACCCTCTCTATCTTTCTCGTTTTCTCCCCTCCTCAGATTTATTTGCTTCGCTCCGCAATTAATTAAATCGTATCGTTGTTATTTTTTCAATGTTCATTATATATTTTTTTAATAGTTTTTATAGACTTGTCCATATAGCTGTCGTACGATGTTGTTGCTGTCGTTCGAGAATTGTCAACGTCATTACCTCTCCTCCCCCCTACCCACAACATGACTTCAATGGACATCTTTAGAATATTTTTTGCCACACACACCCGTACGTAGACATCAATTAAATTGAGAACGCAAAAGAATAACGACATCGACGACGACCAGCAGAACGCGCACCAAAAACTTTTTTTTTGAAATTAATTGACAACATCAATATCATTGCCATATTGAACTGAAATCAAGAGGAAGAAGAAGATAAATGCTGAGACAACCAATCAAGTCGATGGGAATGAAGAGTAGGGTAGGGTAGAGATGGAGGTAGAAAATTTGTTGGTAGAAAAAGAGGGTGGGGCATGGGATGTGGGTCTTTATAGCAATTAAAATAGTCACGTTTTCAAGGCAATAAACATGAATGGACAAGGTAATGGAGGCTTGGCTATAGGTCCAAAGAAGACATATGAAGATTCTGTACAGAAAATAATTTTGAAGACTTCATGTAAAAACCTTTGTGGAGGTAGGATAAGGCTGAGAAGATTTCTGAAATGGTTCTCTAAGGCATAGATGAACCCTGCGAAGAACCTGTAAGATATAAAAATATGCGAGAAGGTCCTAGAATGTCTCTACAAGGCTCCTCAAATTAATACGAGAGCTCAGAAGAAGTCATCTAGGGTAAGGAAACATAAAAGGTATTTGAGGAGATAGGCAGAAAACACAAAATTTCTGAGAATGTTCTCCAAGAGATAGAAGATCTCTAAGAAGGTTCTATAAGATCTATAGGAACTCCTACAATACCATTGCGATGCTTCTTTAATGTATACGAGATCTCTGAGAAGGTCGTCTAAGGTATAGACATATGAGGAGGCGCTAAGCCATAGAAATTTTCTGAGAATTTTCTCTACGAGATTGAACCCCTAAGATTTTCTTTAAGACCTGCGAGGAAGTTATCTAAGCCCAGAAGGAATTTGTGAGGAAGCCATCTAAGTTTTAAAAGGCCTCTGTGAAGTTGTCCTCTAAGTTCAAGAAGACCTCCGAAAGGTCCTCTAAGATTCAGAAGATCTCTAAAGAGGTTCTACAGGACCTC